GGAAGCAAGATTTCGTGGGTAACACGTAGATGTGTTGCTTGTTTCTGTCTTGTTTATAATTCATGTTGTGTGTGCGTGTGTGTGTGTGTGTGTGTGTGTGTGTGAGAGATAGAGAGAGAGAGATGGGTCCATTTTTGTGTGTTTGTGTGTATGCTACCCTATCAATCCCTTTGTGCATTTTCATTAGTTTCTTACCCTTTTCTGTTAGTTTCCTCCTTCTTTATTACTTTTGGGGTGTGTTTGATTGGGGGATAAAGGGGATTATTTACTGTGTAGATTGTAATTGAGAGGATGTATTCAATTCGCTGTTTGTTTTTTTTTTAGTCTGCCGGATATGGAGTCCGGCCGGACTCCTTATCCCCCATATGGGGGACTATTGTGTCCTGGGGGTGTGAGACAATTTTGGAGAGACAATCCACTCTTGGGATTAGGTGGTAAAATGATCATTTTGACTCTCTACTATTTAATTATGTATTATATTTAGTAAAATTTAATAAAATTTAAATGTCTCAATTTAAAAATAAAATAATTTTATTTAACTTTTTATTGATGTTTTATTTATTTAAATTTTTAAAATAATTCTTTATAGATATTTTATTGATGTTTTATTTTAAAATTTTGGTATATTTTCGTTAATTTCATTATTTAAATTTTAATAGATTTTTATTAATCCATTTCCACTTCTACAAAAAAAAAAACAACAATTTAAATTGATATTAATAATATATTATTCTAGTTAAAAACAATTTAATTAATAAAATAAAAATATAATTAAAGTAAAATATTTTTATTGATATTTTATTTATTTATTTATTTTTTAAAATAATAAATTTATTTAATTGTGTAAAAAATAAAATAAAATAAATTTTTATTTAATCTAGATAAAAATAATTAAAATATTAAAGATATGTTTAATATTACTATTATTTAATAAATTATTGAAAAAGGGTAAAACAGTCTTTTGGTCATTTATCCTATCCAGTCCGTCTAACCAAACGTTAGATTCACTTAAAATAGTCATTTCCACACATTTAATCCCACGAAAAAACAAACACAAGATACATATCCAATCCAGCCAAATAGTCCGGGGGATTCACAGTTCCAGAACTCAAATCCGATGGATTCTAATCCTCCATTATCCAGTCCGTCCAATCAAATACACCCTTACGGTATAAAGAGTTGTTTTTGGAAAGTTAGTTACAAGTTAATTTTGTGGTTTTTAATTTTTTTTTTTTTGAAAAAATGTATAAAAAAAATAGAGAAGTAATGTAACATAAAATATATATTAAAAGTTACGCATTAAAAAAAGGTTGTTAGAATGTAGAAATGGATAAAGTGCGTTAATGAGATTCGCACCTAGGGTGATTTGAGAAGTTGGTTAAAAATTGATCTTTTGACTTTTTTAAACTTTTTTTTTTGTTTTAATCTTTTTATGTGTAAAAAATATTTGAGGTGATATGATCCATAATGAATTAAAAGTTAAAAGCTAACTTCCCAAAAGCCTTCGTTCTTTTTAACCTTCTTTGGCTCTTCTTTTGGTTGTTATGGTTGTGGTTATAAAGTATGGGTACGGATACGGATATGGATATTGGTACAGACACATTGATACGGTAAAATTTAAAAAAAAAATAAGATATGGGTACGACTGGAATATGTTAATAAATTTTTTATTTTTTTTAATTTATAGTTTGAGATTCAATTTACAAATCAAAGTTCAATACCAAAATTTAAATAAAAAATTACAAAACTAAAAGAGAAATCATAATTTAACAATACCGATATTAAAGCAAAGTCTATAAGTTATTTTAATGTCATTAAATAGAGGAATTTACAAAATAAAGTTTCATTTCAAAAGTGAGCTAAGAAAAATTTGAAAATTTAAAATTTCAATTTTCATTTCAGCAATTTCATCATTAAATAATACATCTTTCATCTCTATCATATTAAGTAAAGGATTTATAATTTCAAGTAAATCAAAATTCTCTAATAAATTAAACATATTTCCACCAATATCTCATTACTTGGTGTACCCTTAGGTGGTGTTTGTTTTGAGGGATAGAGCCATGGGATTGGAGTAATAATCCATTCAGACTAATAGTCTGTTATTTGGTTTAAAATTTTTGCTCCAGACTATTAGTCCCAAATGTGTTGGACTATTGTGTCCCATAGGAGGGACACAAATGGGGGATATGGGATTTGACATTATACTATTTAATTATGTATTATATTTAGTAAAATTCAATAAAATTTAAATGTCTCAATTTAAAAATAAAATATTTAATTTAATTTTTATTGATGTTTTATTTATTTAATTCTTTAAAATAATTTTTTATAGATATTTTATTGATGTTTTATTTTAAAATTTTGTTTATATTTTATTTAATTTCATTATTTAAATTTTAATAGATGTTTTATTTAATTTCATTATTTAAAATAAATTTATTTAAAATTTTAATTAAAAAATAACATATATTTTTATTGGTATTTTATTTATTTAATTTAAAAAAATAAATTTATTTAATTGTGTCAAAAATAAAATAAAATGAATTTTTATTTAATCTAGCTTAAAATAATTAAAATATTAAAGATATGTTTAATATTACTATTACTTAGTAATTAATTGAAAATGGTGAAATAGTCATTTGAGCATTTATCATTCTCTATAATATCCAAAACAAATATAGGATTCAATAAAATAGTCTAATCCAGACATCTAATCCTATAATTAAATAAACATATGATACAAATCTAGTCCAACTAAATAGTCCAGAGACAATGTATCTCAAGACCAATAATCCAGTAAATTTCAATCCCTCTTATTCAGTCTATTCAAACAAATACACCCTTAATACCCTTCCGTATCTATAAAGTACCCACAGAGTACTCAACTATCAAAAAATATACTATATAAAAACTACCAAATATGTATTTCAAATATTCCATTCACATACAACCCTATTAATATAAATATCAATACTCAATAAATACTTTAATATGAGTACTAATACTTTAATATGAGTACTATAACATTTTTAAAGTATCTCTTCGGGACCAGCAAGTCAAAATATCCAATCTCGTTGTTATTCTCTCTTTTTTTTTGCCCTTTTCCTTTCCTCCACATGAAAAAATGAAGGACAATTGTGTTGGATAAAGTGTAGCTCATTTGGGGTTCCAAGTCAACTGATTCATTGGCAGTACTATATGCTCAATAATTGGAACTTGAGCTTAAGCTGAGTAATTATGAATCTCACCAGTATAGTGCCACATTATTATTTATGTGGTGTAATGGCATTAAAAATATATTAATTTACCTTTGTTAGGTAATACATAGATAAGTAAGGATTTAATTAGTATATATTATGTTTTTTTTTATTTATTAAGAACATCATATAAACAATATCACATTTTATTTCGTTTGGCAAGATGGTTTATAACTTAAATAGTCTCAAAAGATAAAATAGACTATTTTAACCACAACAAACAAAACATCACATCCAACTCATAATCATTACATTATTCTCTCACAAAAAAAGTCAAAAAAATCCTTTCCAAACCAAGCTTTTTAACCCAGATTAAAATAGCCAAAAAAATCAAAAGGCTAAAAAGCCAACCTCCTTCCCAAACCAACCCTAACCAACCCCTAGTAATTTTCCTAACTCAAGTGATCATACCTTTGGTTTCCAAAATATAGGTTTGGATTCTAATTTATGAAAAATTATTAAACGATTATTAATAGTAATCTAAATTACTAACAAGCTTATAGTTTATTTTTAAATTGGAAGTCTATGCATATTAGTTTGTGCAATTTTTGCTTATAAGTTATTAAGTAGAAACAGTTTAAGCTAAAAAAAAAAAAAAAAATTGATTATCTTAAAATTGAGGTAAAAATATTTTTAATTTTTATTTTCTAATAATCAACTTTCAACTTATAACAAATTGTAGCAAACAAGCCCTAAAACTTGTTGTATCCTCTCCCTGATGACTAGGATACAAACATAGACATTTCCTAAAACTCAAGTAAGCCATCACCTTTGTTGACTTCATATACCAATGATATGGAAGGTTGTTTTTGGCTGGCTTTTAAGCATGAAGTGGAAACTTTTCATTCACATTATTAATTTGGTTTAACAGCTGGAAAGGGCCACCAGTTTGACTTGTAAGATCACTTTTTTTGTCTTCTTAGCCAATTAATATATTCAAAGTCTTGTCTATCAAACTAATCCACTTGTTGTAGCTTTCTATTAAGAGCAAACATAGACTAACAATATATATATAAAAGCATTCATTGTTATGAATATAAACATCCAGCTGCTGCCTTCGAGTTATTTTCAATTCTTTTTTTTTTTCTATTTTGTTTAAAAGAAAAACTAATATTAGAAATTGAGTTTTTGACCAAATTAGGGCGAAGGGTATATGAGAGACTTGCAATATATAAACACAAAGAATGGATCCACTGTGTTGAATTTGATCAAGCCACAATAAGACGAATGGGTTCACAATCTGATTACAAGTTCAAAATGTTGACCCATTTTTTACACAGCCCAACCCAGCCCAGCGTGAGAGGCCCAGAGAACTAAATTACATCACTTTTGAAGTTCCCGAGACAAAGACATTTTAGTTAAAAAGTAACTATAAATTGTTATATCACTCTTTTTTATTTTTTTACACAACTTTTCGTAAAAAATTAAAAAATTTGTTCCCGAACGAAGCTTGAGTTATAGTTCAAGACAATTTACCACGTATAATTTGTCTTTTAAAAATGTTATGCTGGTTGTGCTCCAAAAATAAGGAAAATGTTGGACAAATTGCAAAATCTCTTTTAGATGGGCACACAATTTCCGTGGTGCACTGGATCGATGTGATAATTTCTTCTTTTTTTCATTTTTTATGTTTGATGCTAGAGAATCCCTTTACCCAGTAAACCACTTACCTCTCTCCACAAATAGAATAAGACTGTATATATCTTGCCTTCTCCACTTTACCAGGAGGCTCGTGTACTCTTTTTTTTTTTTTTTTTTTTTTCACATGGATTGGATAAAAACCCAACGTATCATGAATTGGGTTAGAAATCAATTGCTCTTGACTAACACTGGGATTCAAATCCAGAACACATCATCAAATCATGTAAAAGAATGAAAAATCGCCGAATATTGAATCTCATATCATACTCTTACAATAAAACTCCTATCTCATTTGATCTTTGTGGTTTTCTCTCTATATATCTATCTCTCTCTCTCTCTCTCCGTGGTTTTACAAGAAGTACCTCCAATTCTAAAAGGTGTAGTATAAAATTGGAATGAAAAAAAACAACTGTGAGCATTTGGTGGGGCAAAGTCAGTAAGAACCAGAAAATCCATACCTAAAACAGAGACGGGTGAGGAAAGAAGAGAATGGGTGTGGAGGAGGAAGAAATCAATCAGGCGAGCTGGAGGGCTATCTGCTGTAGAAGTAACTTCTTCTGAGAGGCATTAATAAGGCCTTTGCACTCGGCATCGACCAATACCTCTGTCATAATTGCAGCTGCATGACCTCTTGGCTCCTCTGAGCCTGATGCTCTCCTCAACATAAACATCTGATAAGAACCAAAACATAATATGTAACCAAATTTCAGTCATTCCCAGCATTTCAGAGACAAATATTTGAAGCAAAATCAAAATGACCATAAAAAGGAATAAAATAAATGTCATAGATGGAATAGGTGGCAGCATAAGCAAGAACATTTGAGTAAGGTTCAAACCCTCTCTCATCCCCAAGACACCAATTGAAGATCATAGCAAAAATAACATACCAAACTAAGCCTTTTGTCCCAATAAAAGGAAAAAGTTTATTATTTACAATGCAAAACGTCTTTGGTAATGGTGATACTGAACCGTGTAAAAAAATAATGAATATTTCAATTGATATTTCATAGTGTTTTATTCCACCTCTTAGATTTTGGCAAGAATGGGAACCTAGGATCTTAAATATTCAAATTAAATTCGAGTAATGCACATGTGGGTAGTACAATTATTAGTAGATTCACATACACATCCAAATTCCATCATGACGTTAAAAACTAGAAAGATACCTGGCCGTGATGTGTTATCTCCAAACAGCCGGGTTTCTGTATAAAAGGCTCCCCATCTATTTGAACTGGAAACGAACTGGAAGCGTGAATTCGAATTACTCTCCCTTGGGCTAGCCTCCGTGCTTGTGAAAGTCCAACCTGAAAAATTGAAAGTATTAGTTAACTTTTTCATACATATTATTCTAGAACTTTAAATAAGAGTTTTTGGGTAGCTGAATAACAAGATGAAAAAAACAAGCATTCTTCAGAGCAAAAATACATTCGTTTATACATTTTTCTTTACTCAGCCAAAAAATAATATTAAGTGTACATGCAAAACATGTGCCAAATATTTGCAGTTTGACTATATATTTACATCTTTGCATCAGCCAATATTAAACTTCTCTTATTAAGAAAATGATAAGAGCACTGTTTAAAGCAGCTCAAAGATTATTAAAAGAAAATGTTAACCACACTGACCTCCCTCGAGTTGGAAAGAGAGATTAGGGAGAGTTGGTTGGCCTTGGTCTAGAAACAGAGAGGGTTTGAGCCCGGAGTGTGGGGTTGTGGACTTAAGAGGGGAATATATAGAATCAAAATGGGAAAGCATTACTAATATGTAAGTTTAAAACTGTAAAAACACCAAAAAAAATATATATATATATATCAAAAATTGTTAAGGTCGTTAGCCTGACAAGCACTGATAAGGGAGGTCAGTGTCAAGTCAAAGCCCAGGGAAGAAGTTTTTGTCACTGTCAGAAACCTTGGCATGTTACTGTCAAGGTTGATATAGAATACAAAATATGATTGTACAATACTCTACAAAATTACAGTGATTTAGAGGATTTAGCAGAAACCAAGATTTCGTACCTGAAGTTTGCCAAGGTGCCATGCTCCAGAAATGCATACCACCTCAAGCGTTTTGTCATGCATGGACTGAAGATTGAAATCATCATCATGCTCATAATCATTTTGCCAAAGATCAACTCCACCCATATAGCTGCCTATGTTGAGCACAATTAAACCCTCAGCATCCTGGAGGAAAAGTTAAAAGAAAAAAATTTAAAAATATGAAATAACAATAGTAATAATAATTTAAAACAACAATAACAATAACAACAAAAAAATTGAAAGATCTTAGGTTATTTGAGTTGAAGTACCTTTGGGATTGGGATGTCTTTCCCATCAACTTCAAGCCAAACTTGCCATGGTAAGTCGGCACAAGTTCTGTCCATTATATCCCTTGCACCTTCTTTTGCATATCGCAATTTATTTACAAACTGATGCAGAAATTTCAATTACCAAATGGCAAAATTGTGTTCGCAAATCAAGGGAGCAAGCAATCTTCAATTTAAAAAATTACCACTCAATGCTAGTGCTACAACACACATTTAACAGATTTACCAAGTGAATAAAAAATCAAGCACCCAAGAGAAAGCAATATTCAATTTAAAAAAATTACCATTCTCAACAAATACTAGGGCTACAGGGGAAGTTAGAGATTCACCAGGTGAATAAAAAAATTAGACATCAAAAGCATTAGTGGAATCTAAAATCCGAGTAAATACAAAGCATGGTAGTCTCTTCTATGGCTTGGACAGGAGTGAAAAATGCCTCACAAAATATCATTTAAACTTTAATCAGCATTCTTTTATTAGCCAATGACCATCATGCATGCACCTATTTATGTCTAAAAAAAAATAAATTTAAAAACTCAAAACAAAAACTTGTTTTGCTTTCTATTTTCATTTCTAAAAAATTGTAAACAATCTATAAAATTTATTAACTTCTTGTAAGAGCATCTTTATCAAAATAGTCAATTTTTTTTGTCAAATTTTAACTAAAAAGTAACTTTTCTATTTTAGCTAATCACTTTTTTAAATATATTCAACAACAAACTCTCTATTCTTTTTCTATTCTATTTAAATATTTTTATTTTATTATTTCTTTAATTTTTTTTTCTATCATTCATATTTTTTAAACCAACATTTTTCAATATTCAACTTCTGATCATATATTTTTAAACCCACACTCTTTCAATGTGTTTTTTTTTTTTTGAACGGTCATATTTTTCTAATGTAAATAATATCACTTCATCTCTATTTTTTATCCACTTCGATCTAATTTTCTTTTTCAATTAATTTTTTGTTTTTCAGTATGCTTACAATTTTGTACGAGAAAAACTATTTTGTTCATACACTTGACCATTTAAAATACCCCACTAGTTTAAGTAATAAAAAAGTTGGTTCATACACTTACCAAATACGTGAACAAAATTAAATTTCAAAAGAATAGTTATGTAATGCTTGTCTAATATTTTATTATTTAAATATATTTGTTGACTTGATGGCTAGCTACTTGTGGGGAGGATTTGAGGCTCAACAGCTTTGGCAACTGGAAATGCTAGCTTGATAGAGTATTTGTTTAGTGAATTTTCTTAGTAGAATAGCTAAGAGAAGGATTTGATGTGTAGGGAGATGCTCTAACCAAAAAAAAAAAAAAGTTGGCCACACTTGTTTAGAAATAATTTTCTTTCCTTCTTTCTTCTCCCACCCCTCCGGCCACCATCCATCGAAACCAAAGCCTTTGGCAACTACCTCCGGCCGCCTTCTCAGGCTGTTGGCAACCATCTTTGGCTACCACCTCCGGCCACCCCTCACTTGTTTGCAAAACAAGTTTTTAAAATACATGCAAGTACCAAACATGTTTTTTGTTTTCAACTTTACCAACCAAAAATAAATTTGTTTGATATTTTTTGTAAATAAAGCACAGTAAATTATATTTTGATTCTTGTTTTTATCTTTGAAGTCAAAAGTTGAGACACATAATAAATTTAAAAGTCAGAGAGTAAAACCAGCATGGTATCATAAATTAAAAAATAATTAGTTGCTACCTCACTAAATCTTGTCCGGGTTATTCTTCACCAAATGCTCATTATTTTGATTCTTATCTTTATTTTTTAAAGCCCAAAGTAGAGGCATATGCAGCACATTATAATTTTAAAAGTCAATAAAACCTGGCATGATATTAATTGTTGCTAACTAACTAATAATTGGAATATGATGCCTAAAAAGATCAGTAGCTAGCTACCTGACTGTAGAACTTGTCAGGGTTTTCTTCCCGAGTCACATGGAATTCATATGCAACCTTCGCATCACATCCAATCCCTATCAAAGAGAAGCTAGCAAATAGTTAAATAGATCCAGAAACAAATACTTATAATAAGGAATTTACCTAGATACTAAAAAAGATTTCCATCCCTAGGAAGAAAAAGGAAAGAAGAATGTACCTAAATAGTTCATCATAAATTTGGATTGCACTTTACTTGGATCACTATCTGAGTTATCATCTATAATATTAACTTTCCAACGATCTAGCATTGTAACTGCTGCATGATTGATGTCATGTAAAAAAGTGCTCAAGCCGCCTTGTCCTTCAATTGTTGAGAACCCACCTCCCCATCGCAAAACCCTTGATAAATCATTTCCTGTGCCCAGAGGAAGTACAGCAACAGGTGGTGGTGATTCGAAATTGTGCCTCTCAATTGCATCAAGAACCCATGCAACAGTACCATCTCCACCACAAATCAAAACCCTAAAATACTGTACATTACTAAACATCTCTAAACCATCCTCAGGTCCCTGGGAGGAACTGAGTTCGAAAACCTGCAACCAGAAAAAGCACAAGTTAGCTTTTTTATTTTTATTTTTATTTTTATTATTATTATTATTATTATTTTATTTAAAACAAGGAAGAAGATGTTATACTGTTGCACGTATTAAAATTCTATAAGCCATTATGCTGGGTAGTAAAACAAGCAGAAAACCATATTTTCTAGCACTCAATTGCTTTTACAAGGGCAAGCTAACAAATTTAATTTGAAAGATAATTAATCCCATAGTCATATGAGCTACTATGAACCATGAACACCCCATTTTAGTTGTCATAACCGTGTCCGACACATGTTGGGCACAAACACGCCTGGATTGTTCAATCCAAATTCAAGACTGCTAATGCAGCAGGGTATCATGTGGCAACATTGGTTTCTAGTTAAAGTTGAATACTCATATAAAAATCATTGTGCAAGCACATATTGGGTTGAAAAGGAGGGATGAAGTACTCATAAAGCCAATATTTAATTTCAAGAAAGAAAAGGGAGGGTAGATCATGGAGTTCTAAAAACCTTTAGTTAAATATATCCTGTGCAAGCAGTAACAGCGAGTGAAGTGCTCAAACATTACCTGCACAGGATTCAGTAGCATGTTCAATCTCCTCCGAAGGGAAGGCCCATTTTGAGCTCCACTCTTGGTATTAATGAAGACTAAAAGAGGTCTAGCGTCCTGTGGCAAGTCTACAATTGTATACTTCTTAGCTCGACCCCAGACAGCATTTTCATGCTTTTTAAGGATTAACCCACTTTGGACGCCATTTTTACTGAGCACTCCACCATCATTCAAGAACTGATCACTGTGCTTCTCATTACTTGGATTCTTAAAGCCAACAAGCCCATTGAACACATACTGCAGTGCTTTCCTAGCCGCTGAATCATCATGTAACTTTCCATTAACAGAACGATTGTTTCCATGTTTGTTTCTGTGCCGTCTTCTTCGAATTTGTCCACGACCGGATGAGGCAATAAGTTCTTCCTTAATGGAGTTCAGGATCCCACTTCCAGTTGATTCACCTTCAACTTCTTTCACACACATGGGGGAAAGGATAACTCTCCTAAGAGCACCCAAATCACAAACATCACCAGATTCTTCAGACATTTTAGCCTGACATCTGACATGTATAAGACGCTGACACCATAAGCAATGCCACGTTGGAGAAGCATCAAGAAAAGGAATGCCACAAGGTTCATCACAGTAAAAACAGAAAGCAGACGCCTCAGGATTGTCATCCATGTTAACCCATCTTTCCGACCAGTGGTGTTGCAAATAGCTAAAACCAACTTGCGTTACACACTTGCAATCCTTTGCTGCAAACTGAGAACAATGAAAATGAGTTGCTACTCCACAAACAGAGCAACGATGGACAGGGCTATACGATGCTGCTTTTGTACCTAAGGTTTGTGGAGACACTAGGGAAGTTAAGCAAACACAACAAGTAGATGGCTGTCCACCAGAAGCAGAATCTTCCATCCAAGTATGATGTGATAAAGGAACTTTTAGCTTCTTCCTAGCTTTCTTCTTTGCTCTTGCAGCAGCTTTAACCCAATTAAGAGAAGTCTTTCTCTGCCATTTAAGGAATGCATATATAACAGCTAGAAATCCAAATGATCCAGTAACCAGCCATCCAAAAATAAATGGGCTGTAAGCATCTGAGCTGGTTAGTATTCTTACGAATGGAATACTGGAAGCAATCATCATTGTAAAAACCTAATTTCTCGTAATCTCAATTCTTTCCACAGCTCATAGAGTTGTTAAATCCAGCACAAAACAGATTCTGGAAATAAAACCTGAACAACAGAGGACATCATCATCATCATCCGAGGAGGAAAAAATACAAAGAAACAATGCACATAGAGATAGAGAGACAGAGAGAGTGGCAAAGCAAACAAATACAGAGAAATTCAGTTAAATTAAAGAACTTTAAGAGCTAAATCATTGCAAATAAATTTCAAAAGGGAAAGTTTAAAACAACAAAGGCGAATGAAAAAAAAATAAAAAAAATCACTATAATTCACAACTTTCAACCTATGCTTCATTGCTGAGAAAATCAAGGAAAAGCAATTGAAAATCCCAATCCCAATCCCAATCCCAAGTCAAAAATTGCACTGTTTCCTCTAGTGTGGAATGTAATTAAAAACCTAAACACGTTCCATAATATTTCTCTACCACCAAACAAACCGGTTAATTCACAAACAAACAAAAAACAAACAAGAATTTCCATAATTTGCAACAAAATCACAAAAAACACCAGAATTATAGGGAGGGACAAGAATTCAGATACAAATCGAGACAGCCGGAAATTTGATCGGTAGAATTGAGCTAGGATATCAACAGATCTAACGCCACAAAACTAAAATGGATTGTCATCATTTCACTTCAATCTCTCAAATACAATAAAGTACATATACATATATATGCAAAAGAAGGGGGTGGAGAGAGAAAAGAACCTGTAGAAGCCAAGTCCAGAAGGAAGGAAGGAAAGAAGAAAATCCCTAGAAAGGAGATGAGTGTAAGGATTTTCCAGGAAAAAAATCTGGATCTGTGGTGAAGGAAAATCCTGAGTTGTGTCAAGAGATCGGTGGCACATTTTATTATATATTTATATATTTATGTAGACATATATATATATATATATATATAACTTAGGTGTAAAGGTGAGTTGGATTGGCTTGTTAATGGATTGGGGGAAAAGGAAAAGGAAAAGGAAGAGGGGAGGCGGGATTTTCCTACGCAACAAACACGGCATGGATTTTGGAGAGACCGACGTTGGTGGTAGTGGAGGGTGATCTGTGAAATTACGTAAACGTCCTTTTGTAATGATTCTCTAAACGACGTCGTGTGGGAATCTTATCGGTAGGTCGTTGATTTCAACGGTCATTTAATTTGGCTGTAATTTAGTAGGCTAGAGATTGGTACTCGCTGCCTTTATTTGACATCTGTCATATGTCATTTTCGCTGAGAAACGGTCAGGTTTAATTTGACTTTTTGTCAACTGTGGGTGACCGTTTGACAGAATTATAATTATTATTTTAATAAAATTATAAGTATTAATTGACACCGCTGCTGGTGGAAGTACAACTATCCAAGATGACACACAGTGCAGTGGGCTCATACCTCAAACCCGAGAGCGAAGTAATTCACCAAGCAGGCATTGTCTGGTGGATAGACGAAATCTAGCTGAACATCGAGCCCAGATGGCAAAGCGTGGGAAGAAGGCCTCTTGAGGCAACACAGATGGCAGCCCTACGTCCATCTGTACTGAACAAAAAACTAGTGCGCGATATACTTGGCTTGAGTCCCTCAGAGCCTCTACCAGACCTTGGCTAGGCGACGATCGGCGGCTGGACGGGGCGACGATCGGCGGCAGGGCGACGATCGTCTTCTCTCTCTCTCTCTCTTCCCCTCTGTTTCTCTCTTTCTCTCCCTCTCCCTCTCTTCCTCTTTTCTCATTCTCTCTCTCTTTTCTGTTTCGAGCCAAATTCGGGCTTCGAATTTCGAGCTACCGCTCATTTTCCTAATTAACATACCAATTATACCAACTAGTACATCATATAAAAAACTATATGGCGGACTCTCTCTCTCTAGCGACGGTAACACCAGCATCACCGACCGATTCCCGGAGGAGGAGGATCATCTAGAGCGTAGCACTAAAAAGATCAAGAGCACCACGCGAGATCATGATGATTAAGAGATGAAGGAGAGATCAACGCCAACTGGAATACAAATTGAGGAACCAACTGCCCTTCTCGAAACCACTCAGAGGAAATCTTTCAAACAAGCACTCACAGCAACAAAAAATAATGAGAAGGCGTTTGATAATGATTTGGATCGCCTCTCTACTGATGATGAATTCCTCACTGATGAAGAAGACAATAGGGCATAATCAGAAGGGGAACAAGATTTTGGGTCAACCACAATGATACCCATAATCAAACTCCCTCGTTGGCTTATCACATCGATTCGAAAACCATGGAAAGATTGTCTTATAGTTTGTCTTTTGGGCGAAACAGTAGGGTTCAAATTTCTGGTCCACAAATTGAAGAAATTATGGGGGCTACAAGGAGATTTTGAAGCCACAGACTTGGGGCTTGGATTTTTCTTGATCAAATTTGAAATGTTAGCCGACTGTAATAAAGCATACACTGAAGGCCCGTGGATAATTATGGACCATTATCTTACAGTTAGAAGATGGGATCATGATTTCAAACCATCTGAAGCCAAAGAGGTTGCTACAGCACTCTGGGTCAGATTTCCACAACTACCAATTGAATACTATAATGAAAAGGTGCTATATCACATAGCCAAGGTGATCGGCTGACCTCTCAAAGTGGATTTGAATACAGCCATGTCAATCAGGGGAAGATATGCACGGGTATGTGTGGAAGTAGATCTCACAAAGCCCCTGGTTTCCAGATTCTCAATAGGTAAATATAATTACACAATCGAATACGAACATCTACATTATTTTTGTTTTACTTGTGGGAAGGTTGGTCACAGGAAGGAATACTATAATCAAAAAGGGGTTACAACTTCGATGCCGTCACCGGTGAGACATGGGGGCAGCAACGGTACTGAAGACAAACCAGAACAACACACAACGGTTATCACAATCAAGTCAAAAGACAACTCAACCCAAAAAGAGGAGGCTGACTTTGGCCCATGGATGCTGGTTAATAGAAGGACCCGCAAATACATAGGGAATAGTCGAAATGCAAGATCGCACACGCCCAATAGGCCTAATAATAGGTTTGGTTCAATTGCCAACAAACAAAATATGAATGGCCCAATAGACAAGCAGAAGGGGAAAGAGATACAGGGAGCCCATACAACTATAACCCATAAAATAGTGTCAGATGTAGCCCACAAGAACCTCACACAAGGTGTGGGGCCGTCTAACTCAAAGTTAAGCATAACTGAGGTAAACCCCCCAAATGCTAGTACCATAACTGCTACACCACATCCAACGCAGGTATGCCATGTGAAGTCTATGCTTGCTTCTGAAACTAGTCTTGCAGAAGGAACTGACATTGCATCAGATTCTCTGATGAGTGAGTTGGTTCCCAGCATTCAACCAACCTTCCCTGCTATCACCCTCCCTCCATCACCCATATCTCCTAACACAACCATCCCACCATCCCTCCCACTCCCTCTTCCTCATCCAGACCATCACTCCCCCTCGGATATTCAGTCCAAACCCAAGCAAAAACCTCCTGACTCTGAATTTGAGCGACAACTCCAGCAATGAAGTCATGGAGCTGGTGGAAGTACAACTATCCAAGATGACACACAGTGCAGTGGGCTCATACCTCAAACCCGAGAGCGAAGTAATTCACCAAGCAGGCATTGTCTGGTGGATAGACGAAATCTAGCTGAACATCGAGCCCAGATGGCAAAGCGTGGGAAGAAGGCCTCTTGAGGCAACACAGATGGCAGCCCTACGTCCATCTGTACTGAACAAAAAACTAGTGCGCGATATACTTGGCTTGAGTCCCTCAGAGCCTCTACCAGACCTTTACAATTGTACATCAATGAATATCATGCTATGGAATTGCCGGGGGACCGGCAACAAAAATTTTCGCAGACATTTCAAGGAACTCATCAAAACCCACCGTCTTGATGTGGTTTCCCTCTTTGAAACCAAGGTTATGTTTAGCTCGATAGGTCTCTCCTTCAACAACTTAGGCTACACAACATCCGCTACTGTTGATTTCGTGGGTAGAGTTAGTGGTATTTGGCTTCTCTGGATCCCCATACAAGTTTCTGTTAGTGCTTTTGTCGTTAACCAGCAGGTGGTCCAAGCCACTGTAAAACGAAAAGATTATAAAGACTGGGTCCTGGCTGCAGTTTATGCAAGCCCTAATATCAGGCTCCGTCAAACATTATGGGAGGACTTAGAAGACACGGCAAACTCAATGACGAAACCTTGGCTTATTGCTGGTGACTTTAATGAGATAAGTGACCAGAATGAGAGACGAAGCTTCTCCCAGAATATACAACACAGCAGAAGCCGTAAGTTCATTGAGAACATACACAAGTGTGGACTTATGGACCTCAGCTGCACTCGCCCCAAACTTACCTGGACAAATAATCGTAAGGGGATGGCTAACATCATGGAAAGGCTTGACCGAGCACTCTGCAATGAAGACTGGAGAACTATGTACCTAGAAGGTGCAGTCAGAAATCTTCCACGAACTTATTCTGAACACTCTCCTCTCATCATATACACTGAATGTATGACTAAACTCTCTTCTATTAATCGCCCTTTTCGATTTGAAGCTGCTTGGCTTTCTCACTCCAATTATAAAGATGTTCTTTGTTCTTCGTGGAAACGTGATGTTTCCTTGAACAACAATCTACATCAAGTTACTGTTAACTCCATATCTTGGAATAAAAAGATATTTGGCAATATTTTCAAAAGGAAAAGGTGTTTACTTGCACGGATTGAGGGAATCCAAAAATCTCTAGCGAACCACTTCTCACACAACCTGCTTCTTCTTGAAAAAGATTTGACTTGCCAATATAACAAAACCCTCTTTCAAGAGAAGCTTCTTTGGTTTCAAAAATCTAGAGTAAATTGGATTACTCAGGGTGAAAGAAACACCAGGTATTTTCATATATTTACTATCACAAAAAGGAAAAAAATTAAGGATTAACTCTCTGCGTATTGAAACTGAGGAGTGGCTGATTGACTCACAAGCTGTTAAAAATCATATTCAAGATTACTTTAGAGGTATGTTTCAACATGAACCTGCAATCCAGCTTTCCCACTGGTGCAATATGGCCTATCACCGGATAACGAATGAGGAGAACTGCAGGCTTTCCAGAGGAATCACAAATATTGAGATATGGGAAGCAGTGAAGAACATTAATGCTTTCAAAGCACCTGTGAGGGATGGCTTCCAAGCTATTTTCTATCACAAGTTTTGGGATATCATTGGTGAAGATGTATGTACCTTTATAAAGAAGTGTTATAATAAGAAGCATGTTCCCCAGGATATAAATGGAACCCTCATAGCCCTCATACCTAAAATTGACAACCCCGAAACCATCAAACAATTCCACCCTATTAACCTTTGTAATGTTTCCTACAAAATCCTTACTAAACTCCTTGTTAATTGATTAAGGCCTCTCCTTCCGGATCTCATCAGCCCCTATCAAAGTAGTTTTATTCCAGGGCGCTCAACCCATGACAACATCATCATCACCAAGAGATTATACATACATTGCACCACAGGAAAGGTAAGATTGGAGGTCTTATCATTAAGTTGGGCTTGGAGAAAGCGTATAATAAGCTCTCATGGGATTTCTTAAGAGAAACTCTATTTGAGTTCAATTTGAATAATCATTGGGTAGAGCTCATTATGTCCTGTGCATCTTCAGTCAACTTCTCTTTATTGTGGAATGGTGAAACCATGGAGGAATTTACACCTGGTAGAGGCCTGAGACAAGGAGACCCACTCTCCCCCTATTTGTTTGTCTTGTGTATGGAATGACTCTCGAATATGATCAAGCATAAAGTGGAGAATAAACTGTGGAAGGGACTTAAAGCTGCTAGAAAGGGACCATCTATATCTCATCTCTTCTTTGCGGATGACCTACTTTTATTTGCGCAAGCTGATTAAATCAATTGTGAAACTATCATAGATACAATCAAGGAGTTCTGCCAAATATCTGGATAGGTAGTTAACTTACAAAAATCAAAAATATTCATATCTCCAAATGTTGGTA